CATGTAACACTAACCATACCGGTTTTCCCGATTCATGGTTTTGTTTCCCCTGGAAAGAAAAGGCTTTGAGGAGAGATTTTTTTAAAGAAGCCTAGCAGCTAGAGTAGAAATGAGAGGGTACAAATTTGTTCCCGTCTTGCCATTTCCTCGGGTGCTGTTGACCAAGTGGCCTCTCCCCCCCCCCCCGGTGTTTGCCAGATGAGTAAGTGCTTTGGGCATCCTTGTAGGAAAAGCTACCAGGGGTGTGTGCAAATGTGCATGTACAAGCGGTGCTGGTGGAGGTCTGTTTCAGCACATGAGTCTCCATGGTTAGACAAAAGCCTAAAATGAATGTGACATTAAAACACAATTCTTTGTATTTAAAACAGTTATTTTAAAAATGCACTTAGCCTCAGACGAGAGAATGGTCCTGAAAATGCTCCAGGATGAGGAGGGAGAGAATCTTTTCCTGAGTCCTTCAGTGGTCCTCAAGGGACCCCTCCATTGATGTGGCTATTTGCATTAGTAAGATATTTTGGATGAGGCACACCAACATTTTAAGCAGGTTGTGCTACAGGGAGAAGAGGGTGCTCATTAAAAAAAATTTAGAATTCTGCTGCATCACAGGCCAGCTGTGGGTAATGCTCTCACTTCCAGTTCTGCTGTGTTTTTGTCATCAGCCCCTCCACTACGGATTCTATTCTGTCTGCGATCTTTAACCCACAAGTTAAATTCAAGGATAATACATCTTCTTTGGGCTTATTATCCCATCAATATTTTCGGAGAGGTAGCCGAGCTATTTGGTTTCAGCAAAACCAGAAAGAGAACCAAAGTAAAATTGGGCAATTAGAGAATTAGTGACCAATCTGTTAGCAGCAGTGAGATTACTTATCACCAAAGAATTGGAAAACAGTATGTAATATTTTGTTAAGGGAATGATACAGGGGATTTTGGGATATAGGAATTACTGATAAACTTCCACACAATTCAGAAACAAAAAAAGAGGGTAAGAATAGGAGAGCTCTGTATTTTTAGACATATGGGGAATGTTTATTGACTTTGAGCTGGTGAAAGAGAAGGGTCAAAGGAATCTATAATTTTGGAAGGGGACTGAGGCTCCATGAAAGTAAAATGCTTCTGTTACTAGGGTGGGCTGGGGTACATTCTTTGTGTGTGTGTGTGTGTTTTGTGTTGATGACCCTTTAGGGTTTATTTTTTGTTTGTTTATTGGATGTTTAATTACGGCACATTTACAGCTTACAAATTTATTTTTCTCTGGGCTTTTGGGGATTGCCATCCACATTATGTCTGAAGTAGTAGTCAACTATAAGCCTTGAAAGCGCTCTCTACAATAAATATGTTAAGCCTGAAAGGTGCCACTTTTATTTTGTTGTGTGCTTTGTTTCTGTTTACACACTGAAAGATTTCCTTGCCAACTTCTGCAAGAAGTCTGTCCAGACAAACATCACTTAATTCAATCTGATTTTTATTTACTTGATCACATTTGGAGTTAGTAACAGGCATTTGCTGTTAAATGAAAAAATAAGATGCATGTGTGGATTATATCGCAGTTATTTCTACTGGCTGTTAACTCTCTTATTATAATGTAGGTTGTAGAAGAAGTTTAGCGGTCCATAGTCTTGCTTAGAAAACAACTCTGACCCAACATCCAGTGACAGGAAAAGTGCCTGTATGAAGTTCACCACTTCCCTGCCTCAGATAGATTTTCTTAGAATACTTTCTTAAATTGTGGTTCTATATAGTTGGAGCAAAAGGATGGCTTTAGTGCAATATTATGTAAAAAGCTGATTTATCAGTGTTACAAGGAGGAATAAAGAAGATACAAATAGAATAAAATTGTAAGGCACTTAAGTTTGCTGCTGGTTTACATGTGTAATTAAGTGGAATAAACAATCCAAACAAAATTAAATGGAGAAGTATGATCTAGCCTCTGAAGTCATCCAGATTTTGGTTGAGAAGTGTGATATTTCCAGAAAAATATGAATGCTATATCATTGCAAAGTCCCATATGCATTTCACGATGCAAAAGGAATGGGGATGCAAGACCCCACACTGTCCACTGGGAACAACACCTCAGTCCAAAGCCCTGCAAAAGGGGACGAAAGCTGTGCCCGAGCAGATTTCACATCGGGTGAGCACAGAAACCATCGGTAGGTCATGCTCATTATAATTTATAATTCAAAGCATACAACTTTTAAAAAAAGATACAGCATTGATGACCATATTCTGATCTCACTAGCTGGAAAAAGGAAAAACATCCTGCCCACTTATAATATTGTCTATCTGAACATAAAACCTACCAATCTCTCTGAATGTTCAGAATGTGGGGAAAAATTGTAAGCAAATAACTATCCCCCACACATCTGGTGAATAGTATGGTCATTCTCCAAATTCCCTGGCCTATCCTGCCATGGATATTGTCAGCATTCACCAAGGTTACTTCATGTTGATGTGCATTTGCCACATCCATACAGGTTCATGCATATTCTCCAATATTTTTCAGCACTCTATATTTACCAATATCATCAGTCATGTTCACTCAGGTCTCATAAAACTCATAGGCTTAAGGTTCACATTACAGTACTTTAAGACAGATTGGGGCCATCTTCTCTAATATATATATTTTACCAAAAAAATTAATGCAGACTTCAATAATAAAGGTAAACTCTTTTGGAAAGATACACTGCCATTCGACACCTATCCAACATTACAAAGGATATATTGAAAAGTAATTGTATATATATCCTTTGTAATGTTGGATAGGTGTCGAATGGCAGTGTATCTTTCCAAAAGAGTTTACCTTTATTATTTAAATCTGCATTGATTTGTTTGGTAAAATGTCACTATTCAACTCCCTCCTGTAATTTTATTGTATATTCTCTTTAGTTGTATTCGTTTATATTGCTATATTTCAAGCAGTTTTGCGGATTGCACTTTTAAATACAATAGTAGGGTGCGTATACAAATCTGTTTGATTATTTTTTCTATTACTTGCTTAGATTAGATTATAATATGTATATCTCCCTCATGCCATTTGAAACATAGTTGTTTCTACTAAGCAAACAGCATTTTTTAAAAAAAACTGTTTTCTCTTAAAATAGAGCAAAATAAAATATATATGTGTATATACATTAATTATTGAACCAGTACACTTGGAACAAAAAAAAGGCAAACTAAACTACAAAGGGTATGTAGACTGTGCTAAGTTTATACACACAACCAACTTGTTTTCTTGATCAAAAGCCTCCCTCATCTCACACTTACCACTAGGTCCAACATTACTGTCCACAACCGTTCCCCTGTGGAAAAGTGGCAACATGAGCTGAATACGATACAGTACAATATTCACATGAGACAAGCATTCCCAGAGTGGCACCTTTTCACTCAATTGGAAAAATTCCTAAGTAACGCAGATACGCACTGGGAGAACTTCCTCCCACTGTATGTTCCCCAAGAAAATTTATGAGAAGCTGTAGCCCTCTGGATGCTAAACCACAACTCCCAAATCTCCTTGACCACTGAGCTGGAGACCAATACGAACTGGAAGGCCACGACGCCCTAGATCACCTTCTCTAGCCATCCTAAAGTTCAGACTTCAAACCCTAGAGCAGAGGGTGGGCAACATGCAGTCCTCCAGATGTTGGACTGCAACTCCCATCAGCCTGAGCCAGCACGCCCAATAGCAAGCTATGTTGCATCCTGCAGTCCTGGAACATCTGGAGGACCACAACGGCTTGCTCTTGCAGATTCTCATGTGTACAAGCAGATGTGTATCTTATCATACATGCACAACCACACCAAGCCATCATTTCACCATTATTATGGAGTGCATGTGAAGAAGGCCTTGATTCTAACTGGTCCTCAATATACTACACCCAATTAATTAATTAATAATAATAATAATCATGTGCCGTCAAGTCAATCCTGACTTATGGTGACCCTTTCCAGGCTTTTCAGTTCTTCATTAATTCACTAAGGCTGCAATCCATTTACCTGGAAAGAAGCCCTACTAAACTCAGTGAGACTTACTTCTCAGCTGTCATGCTACGGGATTGCACTGCAGTTCTAGTAAGGCTAGAGCCTTTTCTGAAAGACAAACCAAACCAAATCTCCTCTGGAAAAGAATGGAGGAGGGCCCAATGATATAGTATAAGGTGGTAATGAAGCCCAAAATATGATCAACATGGTCCCGAGTGAGCTGACAATCCAGTAACCTCAAGTAAAGTAAACCATCTAAGACTCAGCCATTGTAGTACTTCTCCATATGGTTCAGCCTCCTCCTTCTTGGCCACATCAATTTACATGGCAAAAAGAATTTTCTTTTAAATAAATGCCTCCTCAAGTAGTGATCCCCTGTTGAGGTTAAGGTCTGGTTTTCAGTGATTCAGTATGACATACTCCAGGTCACTGGCCCAGGGGTGACACCTCAGGAAGCAGATCACATTGTGAGGGCTTCATCGTATCAATAGCAGGAGGGGAAGCATTCTATAGAAAGGAAAACAACTAAAAGAACAAAAATAAACCCCTGCAGAGGAAAAAAGCACACCGATTATAGCCCATGGATTGGCATTTCAAAAGCAGCAAGCAGCAGAACCATTATTTAAATCACAAAGAGGCTATGGGTGAGATTCCAAGTTTGTTCTCTCCAGATCAGATCATCTGTTGGGGTCAGCAGGCAAAAGTGGGCTTCAGCTAAATGTCTTTTTTTTTCTTCCCCAAAGGAGAGTTGTTCCCCCATCTTTGATTCCTCTTGAACAGCATTCTTCAGAAAAATATGAGGAATGTATCTGAATAAACACAGTACCTGGGATTGCCTTGCATTGGTGTAAGGTGAGATCATATAGTTGAACAGTCCTCCTTTTTTTGCATGGGATCTTAGAAGCAGAGCCTGGTGTAAGGTGAGATCATATACGTAGTTGGTCAGTCCTCCTTTTTTTTGCATGGGATCTTAGAAGCAGAGCTTCTTGTTGGGGTGGGGATGTATTTTTCAGAACTCTTAGCATCCTCATCAAACGATTGTTCTCAAGGTTCCTTCGGGTGGTGGTGGAGGTATATGAAGATGAAATCCATAAAATATGCAAAGTAACTACCCCCACCCCCTTGTTAACTTCCAATGGATCCTTAAAACGCCTTCCTCTTACAAATAGGTGCAGCAACTCTCAGTAGTAGGAGGAAGGGGCAAAGGAATTGAGAGGGATGAATGGTGGAAGAAAGAGACAGACGTTGCTTATGAAATGCCAGCAGACTACTCTTAAGTGGCCAGGGCATCAGTCTTTGTTTAACTTGCTATCACCCCAGGTTTGTTGTGTAACAGGCTTGTTGGTGTAACTGGAAAAAAAATCATTTGTGCTTAGAAACACAAAAGGCTCAGATGATTTATGCAGTTTGGTCTACGTGGAGGACAGCAGCTTGGCTTGATTCTTCATCTGACTGCTCCACTTCCCCGCCGGTCGATTGGTTCCTTTCATCGTAAAGCGGCTGCCTGGTTTCTAGTGAAGCCTTGTGGTCATCAGCCCTGTAGTCATCACCTTCTTCAACAATTGCAAGCTCAATATTGTTGTTGACTGCCACTTCTTCTTCACTTCCTGTTTCTTTTTCCAGGGAGTCGGCTACAGCTTTTCCCTCTTCAACTGGAGAACTGGGAAGGACCAGGTCTGCATGAATCTCAGTGAAAGAGGTCTCTTCATCATTGGCGGTGTGTTCACTGCCCGTAGCTTCTGTTGGCTTTTCGTCTGTTTCCATGGAGGTGTCTCCATCACGAACTTTCTTCACGTTGAACGTCAGGGGAGAGACCTTGAAAGAGGAACTTTTTGAGGAGGAAGACTTCTGGTGGTTCGGGGTGAGAGACTTTTTAATCTTCTCTCTCCTTTCAGCAGATACAATCTTGGTGCCAAACTTGTTCATCTTCTTCTCGATATTTTGGCGGGAAAAGGCTTTCTTCAGGCTATCTACCTTCTTGAGGCTTGACCTCTTGATCTTCTCAGCTCTTGACTCCTCTATTTTCTCATCCAGGCTATCGTTTGCAGCTTCATCGTGAGGTTCTTCATCCTCTGAGGACAGCTCCACAGTGTGCATAGTTTCCTCCAAAGTTTTGTTCTCGTCAACCGGTGCTTCCTTCCCATCGGTAATACTGGGAACAGGCTCCTTCACAAACACACTGGCAGGGATCTCGTTTTCTTCCTGCAAAGAGATGACGTGTTTATTTCAGAGTTCACATGGCATAGAGATAACAAACAAAGCACAGACGTGAAAAACATCAATATTTTTCCTTGGAGTAATGAGGTAAAGGAAGTCAATTGTTGTTGTTGTCACAGTAGATTTAACGAATAACAATCACTTACTTCCTATGGAATTGCTCTGTTCTGCAGCCCAAGACTAATGAGTTATGAGCTGTCAGCAACAGTTATTGTTAATTTACTGCCATTCACATTCGCACTGGAGAACTAGTGCAGATATCTGTTCTGCTGATTTCTTCACACAGTTAAGAACAAGATTCAGAATCACTTCCCATTTCCCGTTCACCTCTACCTTTCCACTTCTGGATTAAGTGTTAGCTAAGACATTAACCATAGTTATGACTGGGGTTCAGCTTACTCCAGCTTCACCTCTACCTGCCCACTGCTGGATTAAGTGTATGTTAGCTAAGACATTAACCGTAGTTATGACTGGGGTTCAGCTTACTCCAGTGTCTGAAACCAGCATCAAACCATTGCTAAACAAATGATAAATACTATGCCTTCATTAGCTTGAACTCTTTATCACTTGAGAAACTACAGGGGCTGTTTCCTCTTCCACTGGACGATTCATGCATCTTTATCACAGTTACAATCCAAAGCATGCCGGAAAAAAACTAAGTGAGGTGGTAGTGGTATACAGCTTCTATATAAATGTGTAATCCTCAACAAACACAATGTTGAATTTTTTACACAGGAGGTGTTAAGATTCTTTGCAAGAGAACATTGTTTGGACCTACAATACTTCAGCTTCAATTCAGTAGATGTCCTTCATGATTAAGGGGAGTCTCCTTATGTTTGTTCACCTGGCTATAGAATCCAAGATGGCTTGACTCTTGGCTTCGGAACGAATTACTTGACCATGTGAATTTGCTTTGTACCAGTCCACCCAGTCCCCTATTACCTATACCAGTTGCTTACCAACTTGGGCGTGCAACTCTCATTTGTCCTGCCTATCGGTCATTCTGGCTGGCAGTGATGGGAGCTGTCTACCTGACAACACCTGACAACCCACAGTGGTGAAAAGCTACGCTACAGTAACTGGGCAGTTTAGATTTTTCCCAAGCCCCGCCTGGAGATATTGGGGTTGAAACTTGGAATGTAAAGGAATGAAGTAAGGCTAACTACAGTGGGCACTTCTGCATCTATCATACAACCTTACACATTGGAAAAACAACAACCCGAAAACAAAACAGCAAGTGTTTTTACATATATATTCGGGCCTTGGCTATCCAGATAACTAAGCGGTTGTGGAGCCAAGGGCTGTGTGCCTCTTGGGAGAAGAGCCAGCCTTTGAGCCCTTGCAAAATGCATGGTCCCAGGATCCAAGAGAAAGAGGGAAGGGCAAACCCCTTCTGAGCACTTCATGCCTCGAAAATCCTGGAAAATATGGCCAGGAGTTGGACTTGACATGATGACACATAGTCATTATCATTAGTGAAGCCATAGGAAGTTCAGAAGGGTTGGGTGGGGAAACGAGGTTGTTGAATCGCAGTTGAGCTGATTGTAAGGAGCAGTGAGCGAAAGAATTTAAATTTTAAAAATCAGGAGTTCTTAAAATGCTGTCAGAGTAAGTTTTTAGACAGGTCTGTTGAAACATAACCACTCTGCTTCCAATAATTAAAATGCATCCTGCAAAGTCGGGACTTCAGAAAGAGCAACAGCTCAGCCGAGAGGGTGGGCTGTCATCAGGGCAGGAGAGGTGGCCTTGGGACACACAGGCATTTCTGTTCCTTCCCTCACACTTGAAACAAAAAGTAGGCATTGTCCACCCTGATGTATTTTTGTGTGTCTTTTTTGTTTTTCTCCTTGTGCTTTCAAGAGAGGGAGAGAGAAAAGAAGAGCAAAATGACCTAGGGACATCAGCCCCATTGTAACTATAAAAGGCTTAAGCTTCTATTCATTATGGCACCCGAAGGACAAAGTTCACAGAATCTCAAAACACCCTTGCAGAAATACTGGACAAGATGTGATGCCTTATCTACTGCATGATGTATATGGGGTGGTGGGCAAGGGAAAGGATTGATAAATATTGGCAGAGATTGGCAGAAGAAATATAGCCCTCCTTGAGACTGTGTCGTCCCTAGCCTGTGTTCAGTAATTTCATAGCAACTCCTTACATTAAGACCTGATTCCAAGTTTTTGGATACCCTTTAAATAGCAAACTGAACAGATAGAGGCAATCACTGGGGAAATTCAACATCCCTGATCATGGTTTCCCTTTGCATTTGGGCGAAACAATTATGGAAAAAATGACTCACCAATGAAAGCTGCCTAGAGGCCTAAAATAAAGAAAGCCATACTCTCTGAAATGGGTTTTTTTTGGTCTCTCTCTCTCTCTCTCTCTCTCTCTCTCTCTCTCTCTCTCTCTCTCTGTGTGTGTGTGTGTGTGTGTGTGTTGTTTGTAGAGAAAACAAAGGTGGGACAAAACTCTTCAAAAGAAAGTATTCTAACTTCTGCAGAGTCTCATTCTCTCCGTGTTGTTGGTAAAGATTAGTATGCTTTTGATAAATTGTGAAAGGTTAGAGCAATGGTGCATGTGTGTTTTAAATCTTGTATTTGTCACCACTTCTAAATAATATGGATAAATATTTAAAGTTTTAAAAAAGAAGAAAAAGTTTAACTAGGCATCTGTTTCTTAAGACCCACTGACATGAAGCTTAATTTGGTTTTGTTTGAACTGGCTTCCAAGATGAATATAAAACAGACACTGGTTGCACCCCCATCTTAATACGGCTGTCTTTACAATACCGAGAGAGAGAGAGAGAGAGAGAGAGAGAGAGAGAGAGAGAGAGAGGACTTCAGATATATACTTTTATGTAAAATGTAAGTAACTTGCTGTAATTACCGTCACCCTCTGGATTTGCCAGGGCACCTTCTGCATGTTGGAAACATGTCCCAAACAGTCCCCAACAGGCAAGATGGTGTCCTCAGACATTTCTTGTGGACTTCACAAAGGCATTTTGTCGGCCACAATCCCAAACAGGATAAGATAGGTTTTGATTGGTATGCATTCATCTCCATAGACCAACTAGTTTTCTTTCTTTCTTTTTGAATTTAGAGACATTATGGTTTTGAAATAAAACTCCCAGAAGCGTCCAGTCATTAGGGCCAGTGGCCATGTTGATAGAGGTCTTGCTGGGAGTTGTAGTACTAAAGCAACTTTTCTAAGCACTAGTTCTTTCTTTCACTTTGCAGACAACATTTGGGTTCATTCATCCAATTTTTTTAGGTAAGGAGCTATTGATAACTGCTCTACTTATCTAGAATATCTTAGAATATATAAACAAAATAATTTTGAAGCTCCAGCTGTTGGTACAGTATTTCTTTTAGTGCCAACACTGAGGCATGTGCTACACAGAGGCAGGATACAGCCTTAAGATACCTGAACGGTTATACCAAAGACTGGAGAGGAGAAGGTGGGTAAAAATAAGGGATGATGAATGGGAGCACTGAACATTTATGGGTCTTTAAGGTGGGAGCCATGAGCAAGCAAAGGACCAGAAATAAATGGGGAAGAGAACAGCCTACCAAACTGTAGGGGCATGGATACATTACAAATGAAATGCCAATTTAACTACCGTTTTGGTCTGAAGGCTCCAGAGAAGGGTGGTTCAATCACAATGCTGAGACAAAGTTTCCCTGTGTTCTTCCACCTTTGCCCAAGGATTACAGACCCACAGTGCCATGAAGCAAAAGGATGATTAAATCAGCTCTAGGCTAGCTGGATAACTTAGCAACTTGAGCCAGTGGTCTAGAGTCTGCTTCCACATTATGACGCCCGGGAAAACAGCCAGCCTATGTGACCTTGGACAAACTACATGGTCCCAGAACACCCCCAGAAGAAGAGAATGGTAAATCACTTCAGAGTATTTTACATCTAGAACACCCTTGGAAGCCAGAGCTAGCCATTAAGAACTTGGTCTGAAGGCTCCAGGGAAGGGTGGTTCAATCACAACGCTGAGACAAAGTTTCCCTGGGATCTTCCACCTTTGCCCCAGGATTACAGACCCACAGTGCCATGAAGCAAAAGGATGATTAAATCAGCTCTAGGCTAGCTGGATAACTTAGCAACTTGAGCCAGTGGTCTAGAGTCTGCTTCCACATTATGACGCCCGGGAAAACAGCCAGCCTATGTGACCTTGGACAAACTACATGGTCCCAGAACACCCCCAGAAGAAGAGAATGGTAAATCACTTCAGAGTATTTTACATCTAGAACACTCTTGGAAGCCAGAGCTAGCCATTAAGAACACACCCAGAGAAACCATGCAACTGAGTACTGGTATAATAGCTTCTTATTCTAGAGAGAACAGCTCGAGCTTAGAGAAAGAAAATTAACTTTAAAAAAGTTACAGTTCCCCAAATACTCCAGTCGTTTTGTTACTTGCTATGCTGCCTTGAGTATTCAAGGAGCTAAAATCCTTTCTTTAGCCTAGCTTAGCATTTTCCTTAGTGTGCTACTTTTTTTTTGTTATGCCATCTTGGAAACGTGTTGTTTTGGAATTAATTCTTATAATTGTATTTTTATATAAGTTATATTAATGTGTTAATGTATTAATGTGTTTTTATCTACGTAAGCCGCCCCGAGCAGACATTGTCTAGAGGGGCGGGGTAAAAATCTAATAAATAAATAAATAAATAAAATCTATGCTGCACAATCTCTTCTATTCTGATCAATTGAATAACACCCACTATTTATTCTAAACAGAAGCACTTAATTATCAATTCCCAATGAATAATTGTATTAATTAACTTAACTATGTACTATTAATGAATCATACACAAACACACACACACACACACACACGTTGTCTGAAGTGGTATTATTTTTGGATGCCTGAACAAGCCATTTGGTTCTTATCCAGGGCTAGAAATGTTGGAACAACCAAACCCCCTGAAATAGACTCAAAACACTCAAGAAAGGGACTGCATGGGCAGAAGAAGC